ATCAGGGCCACAGTGTATTGTCATAATCACCATCATAGCCTTAGGTCAGTGGTGGGCAACCTTTTTTTTCAACTGAGCCAAATCTCGCAAAAACCACGATTGAAATTTATTTTGAGAGCCACATTTTTAAAACTGAAAATACATCCCCCATATAGTAATTCATCCCCCATAGTAATTCATCCCCCATAGTAATTCATCCCCCATAGTAATTCATCCCCCATATAGTAATTCATCCCCCATAGTAATTCATCCCCCATATAGTAATTCATCCCCCATAGTAATTCATCCCCCATATAGTAATTCATCCCCCATAGTAATTCATCCCCCCTATAGTAATTCATCCCCCCTATAGTAATTCATCCCCCCTATAGTAATTCATCCCCCATAGTAATTCATCCCCCATATAGTAATTCATCCCCCATAGTAATTCATCCCCCCTATAGTAATTCATCCCCCATATAGTAATTCATCCCCCATATAGTAATTCATCCCCCATAGTAATTCATCCCCCATATAGTAATTCATCCCCCATAGTAATTCATCCCCCCCATAGTAATTCATCCCCCATATAGTAATTCATCCCCCATAGTAATTCATCCCCCATATAGTAATTTATCCCCCATAGTAATTCATCCCCCATAGTAATTCATCCCCCCTATAGTAATTCATCCCCCCTATAGTAATTCATTCCCCATATTGTGTCAATTCACTTACCTTTGCTCTGCGCGTTCCTCTCGCCGTGTTCCCGCGCCGTTCCGGTCTTCAGGGCGGACTGTGAGAGGAGAGGAGTTTGTCACGCTGCCCCGCCTACATCCTGACAGCCAATGTTTGCCACGCTCCGCTCTGCAGAGTCCTGACTTTTGGGGCGGCCGCCCGAGAGGAGGGAGGGGAGCGGGCGCCCGGCACACAGAAGAGCCGCATTAAAGAGTGTAAATAGCCGCGGCTTGCCGACCACTGAGCTACGGCAACCCTATTGCCTGTCACCTGGTGGGCAGTGTGCTCTGGAGCCGCAGCAAAGGCGAAAAAGAGCCGCATGCGGCTCTGGAGCTGCGGGTTGCCGACACCCGCCCTAGAAGCTGGAAATCACTGAAGTAGCTCCAGTAATTTCCACCAGATTCCAGGTCCCATGCTCAGTGGTCGCCCTGCTGTATTTTGGAGGTCAGCCGGGTGCAATTCAGAGAATGCTTTGCATTTTCTCAGTGAATGCAAAGCATTCCTGGTTGGATGAGGGGGATAGAGTGACATTGCCACCCTGCCTCTCCACCTTGTCCAATCAAGAATGCTTTGCATTCATTGAATATATGTAAAGCATTCACTGAATGGCATCTTTGCCAAGTGGCTGACCTGTGTTCAGAGTGCAGCAGGGCAGCTGCTCAGCACGGGACCTGGAAGAAAGTGGAGATCACTGGAGAAGAAGTCTCTGCTTCAGTGATTTCCAGCTTCTAGAGCAGGGGTGTCAAACTGGCGGTGCTCCAGCTGTTTAGAAACTACAAGTCCCATCATGCCTCTGCTCTTGGGAGTCATGCTTTTAACTGTAAATCTTGCCTGCCCTCATGGGACTTGTAGTTTGGCAACAGCTGGAGGGCCGTCAGTTTGACAACTGTGTTCTAGAGGGACCAATGTAACTATTCCATATTTGGAATTCTTCCAAAACAGTTACATTCAAAGCATGCCGTGAATGAAAACTGTTACAGTTGCTTGTGCTGTCTCTCTTAGTCTGGATTCACACTCGAACATAGCGTCTTTGAGCATTTGTCGTGCGTTTTTTGTGCATTTTTGTTTGTTTTCAGGTAGTGGGTTTTTAAAAATGTTTGAGCTTTGGCATTTTTTTTATTAGCCAATAGAGAATGATATCAGCTGTTGCATAATTTGTTGCTAGGTTTTTCATCTTTTTTTTTTTTTTTTTTTTTTTTTTTAGCTTTTCCATAAGCTTTGATTTATTTTTTTATTATTATTACCGGCGACTTGGAGTGGAGATGTTAACCAGCTACATTGAGAATAATTGATTTTTTTCTGCTTTGAGCTATAAATCATTCAGGTGTGAATGGGGCCTAACTGTCAAGCCATCAAGTGGTTGATGTCATAATTGACCACAGCACCATGGAAACTGCAGATCAAACAAAGGCTAAGATGTCAGCTTCCTTGGGTGTTAAAGATAGGAATATTTATCTCCACTAGGATGGGTATAGACAGGCAGGTGTCTTCTTCAGAACAGATCATGTCAAAGGGGTGCTCTGTAATGTAATTTGAGACTTGACTGATTGTATCTATGCAGTTAAAAGGTTGATTTACCATGCCAAAACATCCCCACACATTATAGTGTCCTAAGTACAACACTAGGCAGTGTTCTGTTTTTTTCCATGCTTACGTTTTCAATGCTCATTTCATTGCCCTCCCCTTTCTGTCCTGATAGCAGAATATGCGTTGCATGCACGGGTCCAGAAACTCATGAATGAGCACTGAGCTTCGCACCTCACCCATGCATGCATAGTCCACCCTTTTTCACTCTTGCAGATCTGCAAGAGAGAGTGGACTGTGCATGAATGGGTAGCGAAGGAAGCCAAGTACTCGTTCCTGAGGCCGTGCATCCAATGTTCACTATGTCCTGCCGTCAGCACATAGAGTGGAGGGCAATGAAATGAGCTGCTGAAAAAGCAAGCATGTTTTTGAACAACGGAGCTCTGCATAATAAAGTACTGAAGCCCCTGTAATGCTTGGGGATGTTTCTGGCAAAGCCAGTAAAGGTGAACTAGCCCCTTAAGTGTTCCCAGGGTCGGACTGAAGACTCATGGGGCCCCCGGGCAATAGGGGATCATGGGGCCCCTGTGTCCTTGCCCACACTCAAAAAAGCCTATAATAAAGGTACCAGGGGCATTTCATGGGGCAGTGCCCGAGTGCTCGAATGGTCAGTCCACCCCTCAGTGTTCCCTTTCATTTCCTCATTTAGGCTTACTTCAAACTGTGCCTAAATGACCATGCATTTTCCCTGCAGTTTCTGCTGCGGGCTGACATGTGTTGGGGTACCATTCAGAATGAACGACAGCCATACGCGGCTCACAAGAGCAGCACAATTCAGCTGCGGGTAGTTGCCAGCCCACATAGTGTGAACCGAGTCTAAGAAGAGGGAAGTTTCCTCTACGCGATTCAGTAGCACAAAATATCATAAACATAAGTGTAAAGGTGAAGACTCATACAAGTGAAAAAAGTCTATTTATTTATCCCAAATAATTCAGATCCTCCAAATGAAGTCACCACATGTTCAAATAATATAGTGTCTCCCCTCTTGGGTGTGCACTCACCACATGAACATGCCTCTTATGGTTGGCTATATCGCTTAAAAGATGTTATCCACAAGAAGATAAACTTTCATACTCGATGACAGTCGCCTCCTCCAACTCACTACAATCTCTCTTGTTCCAGGGTATCCCAATGGCTTAGCACTGACAGACAATTTGTGTAAAGGAGCTAATGATGGTTTACAGCCAGCTTCCTTCCTCCTATGTGGACGTCTCTCAGATGGTCATGTAAAAGACAAAGCACAAAGGAACCCCAATGGTGGAGTACAAAACAGCTCCTCTATTATCTCAAATAGACAGCTACTTACAAGCTACATATTTATGCAATAAAAACCTAATAAAAATGTCCAAAACTAAAAAAAAAAGTTTTGCCTTTAGTTATACTTTAAAAAACCCTCAAATTTAACACATAATTTAGTATTTCCTATTTCCTGGTACCTATGTTATGGACTATGGGAGTTGTAGTGTGCATAGAGCAGTACACATAATCGCAACTAACTTTGCACTGCTCATTACAAGGAAACTGAAAGTGGTTCTAAAGGCTGAAGGTTTTTTATTACCTTTTTTATATGCATTCAATGGATGAAAGTAAAAATCTTCTGTATGCAGCTCCCCTCCATGCATACCTGAGCCCCCCCCCCCCACCCCCTTGATCCAGCGATGTACAGGGGAGCCTTGGGTCTCCCTCTCCTCATTGGCTGAAAAACAGCAGTAGGATCCATTTACTCCCACTGCTGTAAGTCACAGCCAGTGAGAGAGTGAGGGGTGGGGCCAAGCCATGGCTCTGTGTCCTATGGATGTATAGAGCAACCAGTGCCCCGTAGCAAGCGCCTTGCTATTGGGGACACTGGTCAAGGAGAAGGAGTCAGGAGCTCCAGCGGGGGACCTGAGAAGAGGGGGATTGGGACTGCTCTGTGCAAAACCATTCCACAGAGCAAGTAAGTATAGAATGTTTGTTATTTAAAAAAAAGAACCTTTAGTGCCACTTGAAGTGTGGGGGGAAAGGGAGATATTTGGGAGTGAATGGATGACATTACAAGGAAGCAGAAAAAACACAGTAAGAAACAATTTAATAAAAAAAAGTGTACAGGGCCCATTAAAGCATATCTACAATAAAAATGTAAAATAATACATTCATTTCCACATTGTTATTCAATTATTTCTAGCCTACTCCTATTAATCTTAATTATCTTGAAGTTTGTAAACTTGAACTACTTTACCAGGCTTCTGTGACATATAATCACTATTCACTATGAGTAGACACGGCTGTGTCACAGAATTCACAGAGCCTGCCTTCTGAACTACAGAGGTGCTGAGAGGAGGAGTTTCAAGAGGCGGAGTCAGTACAGGAAGCACTGCTTGCAGGCAGCAAGGTACCATGGGATATGTAGTCCTTAGAAATGGAATGTTAACAGCAGAGGAGAAGCTGCAAAGCATGTAGGGAATCCAGGAAGTTGTGGAAAGAGATGACTGGCAGAAAGGCAGCACTCATAACATGAAAGGAAATTTTTCAAGTAAGCTTATGTTGGATTGTCAGATGTAACTATTGTTTGTATTGCTATTACAATGCTGATGTTATAAAATGAAATTGAACACCGTGACCATAAAACTTCTTTAACCGCTTTCCCTCTGCCCATTAGCAGAAATACTGCTACAGGGTGGCAGGGGTGCGCAAAATCATGTAAATATTCAAGCCCTCCCGACCTTTGGGTGTCAATTACCGGGACCCAGCCAGTGATTACTCGCCGACACCTGGTGATCGCCGAGTATTACCAATGGAGTAGAGATCCGTTTGTAAACAAGACAGTTCTCTCCCCTGTCAACTCTGACACACTGCTTTTGTATGTCTCTGCATAGCAGAGCTATAAAAAGCAGTGTGCTTACAGTTGAAAGCACACAGACAGCATACTGTGAAACAGCACACAGCTAACTTTGATCGCCCCAGATGTTAACCCCCGCCTGCCCAATGTCATTAGTAAAGTGTCAGTGCTTTTTATTAGCACTGATCACTGTATTGATGTCACTGGGGATGTCAATGACACCAAGTCAGTTCCCCCCAGTGTCAGAATGCCCACCGCAGTCCCGCTATAAGTCGCTGATCACAGCCATTACTAGTAGAAAAAACATTTAAATATATATACCACCGTTTGTAAACGCTATAACTTAACCAATTAATTTACACGTACGTATTGGGATATTTTTTAGCAAAGACATGTAGCAGAATACATTTTGGCCTAAATTTACGCTGAAATTTGCGTTTTAATTTATTTTTACTGGACATGTTTTATAGCAAAAAGTCAAAAAATATTGTTTTTTTCTCAAAATTTTCAGAGTTTTTTTTTTTTTTTAGCGCAAAAAAATAAAAACCGCAGAGGCAATCAAATACCACTGAAAGAAAGCTCTATTTGTGAGAAAAAAGGACGTAAATTCCATTTGGGTCCAGCATTGCATGACTACGTAATTGTCAGTTAAAATATCACAGCGCTGTAACACGAAAAATGGCCTGGTCAGGAAGGGGGGTAAATCTTCTGGAGGGCAAGTGGTTAAAGAGGACCTTCACCCTAAATGAACTTTTGTTTTGCCCTGCTTCCCAAACCTCCCCCTCCCTTTCACATTTGGATTACATTTTTTTTTTAATTTAAGATTTTTTAAATACATTTTTTTTGCGTTTCCGTTTTCTGGTATGGTAGTTTCAAAACTTTGTTGTGATCGTGCATGCATGGGAAATCTCTTGCATGTCTGCAGATGTGCTGAAGGGCTCTGCCCTGCCATAACAATGAAAATGGTGGTGCTGGAGGTTGAGGGCAGAACAAAAGTGAAAGGGGACTGAAGTCCCTGGTTAAAGTGGTAGTAAGCTCAGCTAAAATTACTTCTTTTTAGGGGCCCCCAGGTGGGTTATGCTTCAATGTACAGCACAACATATTAGCACATTATGGCATACTTACCTGGCAAACTGAGCCCTCCAGTGCTGCTCTGTGATCAATCCGGCGGGTTCTGGGCGCTTCCATCTTCATCTGGTCTTCCTTGCAGGTTCTGTGTCTTCGGCCGCTTTAATGGCTGGGCCGCGATGATGTCACTCCCATGCATGCACATGTGTGTGTATATGGTGGATTCCAGACAGGAGGAAGCATTTATAGCAGAAGACACCAATAGGGTCTCTTCTTTCATAAATATCCTGTCTGTCAGCAATTTTTTGAGAAACAAACTTTACCACTACTTTAAGTGGTGGATGTATATGGATAGTTTTTGGGAATAAGGATATCATTTAGTGTCACTTTAAGTGTCTCCACTTCTCTGTTATGTAGCCATTCTTCTCAACTCTTGGCACCTCATCTTTCTACATCTCAGTGTCACTGCTCTCCTCTTCTGCACCCTCTCTGCTCCATCTCCCCCTGCATCTTCTCAGTTGTCCCTTGCTTTAGACCTTCTGTCCAGTATGTCCCTCCTCTGCACCTTTTTCTCCTTATGCCATAAGTGCTCAGCGATTTCAGTCCATCTCTACCATTTTGGCTCTCTCAACATCAGCTGTCCCCGGTTTTACCTTATTAAATGAAATTGCAAGGTATTCAGATTTATACTTCCAGTGCACAAGTGTCATAGACAAGCTGTATATAAGGTTGCCACTATTTCTTCAAGCCAAACCCGAACATTTTAGCGTCATACACCAAATTTGTTTTCTTTTGTAGTATACACCATTGATTCTCAACCTTTTTTCAGTCAAGGCACCCTTTAAAATTATGGACAGTCTCGAGGCACCCTTTAAAATTATGGACTCTTGAGTCACCCCATTCTAAAATGGGGTGCCTCAAAACTGTCCATAATTTTAAAAGGGCACCTCATTCTAAAATGTGAAAAACGTATCTAATAGTTTTATATAACGCAGCAACATCCACATATGTAGGACACCCAACATTAGAGGTGATTTTATTCTTCCAAAGCAGATACACTTTTGCACACTGGCACTGACTAGTATTCCAATGTTTTCTCTTCTCCCTCAGTTTTTCTCCATTACTGAGCAAATGTGACCCCTGCAATGATGGAGAGGGGCAGGGAAGGGTCAAACTAGGATGCTGTGCAGGCAACCGGCATCCTCCTCATCAACGGATGATGTCACTGGTTGTCAGGACTCTGATGACTAGAAGGTCGTTATGGTGCAAAATGAAAACATATGACTCTGTGTAACTAAAAGGTGGGCTTGTTCTACCCTCTGGCTTGTATGCAAGTTTTGGGCAATTCTTAGACATTTTGCCAAGGCACCCCGAAGAAACCTCAAGGCACCCCGGGGTGCCTGGGCACACTGATTGTGAAAAGCTGGTATACACTATACCTATATTTTTGGATTAAATAACATTTCTAACCATATAGAGTTAATCTCAAGCGTCCCCCTCACATTAGAGTCCACAAAGTTCCCCCTTTACATCTGAAACTGCAGAGTTCCCCCTTTACATCTGAAACTGCAGAGTTCCCCCTTTACATCTGAAACCGCAGAGTTCCCCCTTTACATCTGAAACCGCAGAGTTCCCTTAAACTGTAAGGGGGACTTTGCAGATTCTGATGTATGGGAGAACTCTGCGGGCTCTGATTTAATCAGGATCACTGAGAACACTGATGTAAGGAGGGGATTCTGATATAAGGAGGGGATTCTGATGTAAGGGGCAACATTGCAGACTCTGGTGTAAAAGGGAATTCTGATGTAAGGGGGTCTCTGGTAACCAGAGGCTCCACTTGCACCATAGTTCCCAGCATTGTGTAATCTTCAGGCCTAAAATGATTTTTTTTCACCAAATTTTTAGTACTTTGGATCAAGTTGCTTGTCATGGGTTGGCAACTGTTTTGGAGTTCTCAACAGTCTCAGAGTCACTAGATTAATGTGTGGCTGTAGATGCAGAGACCAAATCAGAAAGGAATACTTTTCCTCACTTTGAATCCACAAGTGAGGGAGACTTCCAAGGAAGTGAGCACCCGATACTGCAATGCCAAAATCTGTTATCTTATGAGCTGTTGCAATAGGAGACATTAGCTGTTGCTACAGGAGACTGGGACTGTAAACTTACTTTAGAATTAAATTTGGCAACAGGTTTAACAGCCTGGGGGGAAATCTCAGAATAGGATGCACACCGCTTTGAAACTCGAGAGGCAACAGAGATGCCTGAAAATAAATTAGCAGGAATTTGCATCCTCCCCTTAACACAGGCTATAACTTTAATAAGCTCTACAGGACCTTCACACAAACAGTTGTTGCTGTCTAGCATATTATATGTCCATTCAAACATATTCATTTCATATCCACGCCCCCTTTATGTTAACCTGTTCTATGATGGCAGTACTCTGAGCATGGCATTATACAATTACTAAATGCAATATAGCCTCTAGATGTTTGTCCCCCCACACTCCCTTGTAGTTCAGTCCTATGTTGCCAGAATTCCACTCCATACCTGATCCAATTGTTTGGGCATCCAAGTGCATCAAAACCTTAGGTCAGATTTGTACTAGGGGCTCTTTTAACGTCTTTTGAGACCTTAAAACAACAGTTTGGACTTCCCAATCTCTACTTTTGCTGGTATCTGCAGCTCTGCTATGCCTACAACTATCAATTTGGAAATCAGCAGTTGGATCTCACCCCCTGAAATGGAAGTTCTACTACGGGACTCCTCCTTGTCTAAACCTCTATCTGAGATCTGTAAAGCTGTCATGCCTTCGATTCATGTGGACATTCTCAATGGTAGGCAGATGCTCCAAATATTGACGGAGAGAATTTGGGAGGGTATATGGGAATACCCCTTCTTCCAATTAGTAGCCACCAGAGATAGGCTAGTTCCGTTTAAGATTATCCATAGGGCCTTTATGTGTAGATGTGTAGAAGATCTGGCTGATTTTCAGTATATGTATTGGACTTACCCTCGCATTCAAGTTTTCTGGTCTGAGGTTATATATTTTGTGTCTATGTTGACTACCATACCTATACCTCTGCATGCAATGACTCTCAACCTCCATACCAGTGTCAGAACAACCTTTCTACCCCAAACCAGTATGAGACAGGTCGACCCAAAGTAGAACCTCTTGACAGGAACGATCGCACACCACACTCCCATTGCAGCAGCGAATTGCCATCATGCTCTAATGCCAACCAAGCTGTAATGGACTTTGCTAAGTTCTTTGCCAGATGTGACCTGATCGCCAAGGGACTTGTAAAGTTTAATGATAAGTCAGAAAATTACAGAGCTTGGCAGTCATTCTTTCAAATGCTCTAAAGCGTCTAGACGTGTCCCACACCGAGAAAATAGACCTCCTAGTCCAATGGCTTGAGAGACTCTGCTGAACATGCTAGTAGGATCATCAACATTAGCATAAAAAATAGCTTCCTTTATGACCTACAACAGAAGTGGGTAACATATGGTTCCAAGTATAAAAAAAGGTTTCAGCTACCATTCCCACCATTTGAAGTGTTTAAAGACTTTGTTTTCAGAGCAAGCGAAGATCTTGAACGACTCCAGCTTTGACTTTACACTGCCACAAGCCACGGCTCTTAGCCTCAAACAACACAGAATGCCGGTGACCGTACACAAAAGACTAATGTTTCTCCTACAGATGCTTTCCAACAAGTCATCCAACTTCACTCGCCCAGAGGACAAAATCAGAGATCCTAGCAAGCAGTGTCCTCTACACAGGAAGCCGCATCCTCTCCTGAAATGCAGATCCTTCTGGAGAGTCTCTAGAAGATTGCAAAGCTTTCCTAGAGAGATCCACATCTGCTTCAAGTGCTGCTCATCCACGTACACTTTCGCCAGAGACTGCAAGGTTAGTGTATCATGCACTGAGTGTGACAGCAAAAACCACAACTCAGCACTTCATCCAGCCCTGCTCCTTGGTCTTATCCAGCCAGCTAGCAATACCAACGAGCACGGTGGGGAGCAAGACGTAATTGGTTCAAGCACCTCAGCAGTTACCTCACAGTGTACCGAGGTATGCAAACATTCTTATGCAGGTGGAAGGTCCTGTTCAAAAAAGTCCTGTCTTGTTAAAGTGTATCCGAAGGGCCACAAAAACAAAGCTGTTAAGATGTATGTATTCCTAGTACGATCAAGCAACTCTATCTCT